CATATTTCGAAACATCAAGAGGCTTTTATCAAAAAAATCATATTACATTGATAAAAAATTCAAGTAAAATATTACCGCAAATAAGGGGAACTTTCAACAAATTTTTTAAAATCAATTATTATTATTATTGTCATAATTATTAAAGTATATTTTTCATTATTATTATAATTATAATTAGGAGACGATGCATGAAAGTTTAGCGTAAATTTCAGAATTCAGCAAGTTTATCATTTTTTTAGTTTTTTGAATCCGCATAAAAAATGGTTGCACCGATTTTGCATAAAACCTAATCAGTTTTAAGTTACACAATTATGCATCGAATGCAATTGGTTTTGCATCGATATCATTTTTTGTTCTCAAAATAATCGAGACAATAAATAATTTCGAGCGCATACACACAGCGTTCCTTTAAAAACTGTTGTATTCGACTCCAGGGACCTTGAAACGTAAAGATATATCAAAATTCGGGATTCGCAAATCGGACCTATTACAATAACTTTCCACTGGGAAGTTAATAACTTCATAATAAAAGTCATTAATCCAAAACACATGCATGTGTATTTACAAATATATCATCTAGCTTTATTGAATAATGTGTAAATCTTGTTAGATCATATGCATAGTTGAAAGTTTTTGAATGTGCTGCATTCTTGTGCTAAATTACAATAGCAGCTATATTTTGCTTTGAGAGAGACAACGCCGGAAATTTACAAGCTCCAAATAGCATAAATATTTTTCAGTACTTCATCTTGGTCTTTCAGTATTATTTGTCAATATAAATGATCCACCTCATCAAGTTTTACTGAAAAAAAGAAATTTTTACTCTAATATGCAGAGAGAAAAAATTCTATCAATTGTTCAGTATAACAAAAGATATATTGGAAATTTTTATGATTATAAAAAATGAAATTTGTGATAAATAATGTCTCAAATAATCATTATTGTTGATCAGCTATGTTGATTGATTGTTAACTTATAGATGAAAATCTTCTATAAAAAATGATCTCTCCATAGAGAGAGAAACTTCGTACAACTAACTAACTTTATCGCTCAATAAAATAAAGCATTCATTTTATTTTTTATGTTTTTTGAATTAAGTAAAAAGCTAATAAAAATAATTACGAATTACATATGTCATTGAAATAAAATCTATTTCAAATTTTTCTTTGGAACTCTTTGCATCCATTTATTGATTAGTTTAGCTCAATCACTTAACTCAAGGAAAATTTAGGCATTTAGCCAATATAATTATTAATTTCTTTTCCATTACCAGTTAAATAAAACTATAGAAAAATTATCGAGTGTGCAAAACAGCTTTTCAATGTTGTCAATATACGAAGTGCACGTAGTTTGAGTGACATTAATTCCAAGTATGAAGTATCTCCTATAATCAACGTTGATATAGTTTTATAGTTGCTGATATGAAAAGTACAACGACAAAATAGAATTTTATTTCAAATACACTAAGTAGATATTTTTCATGAAGCTATAACGTTCATCACCTTCACTAATCAAGCTTCGGAGAAAAAAAAGTGAGAAAGCTTTATAAAGAGGGTCTATTACAGTTCCTTTTCACGATAAAGGTGATCTAAAGCATCACTAAATTTGATATTTAACATCAAGAGAAGTTCCCTAGATCTGTCAAATACAGCGTGAGATCTTATTTTCTATCTCTTTTTTATTCATCTATTTTATTCTTTTTATCAACTTTGATACAAGATTAGTAGATGCTAAGACGGAAAAAAGATGCTTTAATTTAATAAGGGAAGGTTTAACTTTAAAATTGAATAAAAAATTGAATGAGTAAATTTTTAAAAAGAATTTTCATTAAAAGAATACGAGAATAAAATATTAAAATTGTATGTAAAATTTTTTTCATCCATTATTCTTCTATTAACAGTATATTTGGAGTTAAAAAAACAAATCTCTACCTTCATTTGTGCATAAACAGAAACATTCAACATCAAACATTAAAAAAATTCATCAAAAATAGTTTTTTATATTCAATTTCAATAAAGGAAGTACTTTAAATACTTGTGAATATAACTAGCAGTAAAAAAACTAATTTAATTTACATGGATTCACTACAAAACGAGATTTATTTTTCAAAAAAAAATAACGAAGCATCTTCATAAATGCATTGTGAATGTTTATAAAATATCTAAAAAGCATAAAAAAGTTTTTGCAAGCCATTTTTCCTTACTGTCTCCTTTAAGATAGGATGACAGCGTTAAAATTAATTTTTCTCTAGAGAGAAAATAGTTAACAAGAATTTTAGGTTTATAGTTACTGACGAAGATAAAATAAATATGACAGCCTCAATATAATAGTCTTACTTGAAAAATTTACGCTGTAGTTTAATATATTTTTCAGAGACTTTAACGTGATAGAAATTTTTAAAGCAGTTTTTCGTTTGGAAAAAAATTAAAATTTAATATTACATTTCTTTTAAAAAAAAAGATTCAAATACTTTCCTAACTTATTTTTCGTCAGCCTTTCAGTAAACATATTTTTGATAAACTAAGTAAATAAAAATATATAAAGAAAAAAAGTTATAAATATGCTTAAGAATTTAATTTTTCTTTGTCTTTCATAAGAAAGTTGATTAATTAACCAAGAATTCCAATGAAGTTTGATCTGATAGCAAACGTAGAACTCTAGCAGAAGTAGAAAAATTAAAAAGTAATTAACCATAAAAAATTTATAAGTCTATCGTAATAATATTATTAGGTTGTTGTGTAAAAAGGATCTTACAGAAAATGTTTAATGAGATCTAAGAATCGTGAAGGAAATATTAAATAGAAATGTTCACCACAGCTTATCTAAATTACTCGCTACTAGTAATTAAATTTGCAGAGACAGAGAACAAGTATCAAGAGTCACTGTTCAACAAGACTATGCTATGTCATTTTAACTAGCTACCATAAAAACTATTTCCAACGTTATAAAAAACGAACGATCAAACGGTGATGATATTGTACGATAGAATCAAAAGTATTGCAATGTTGCACCGTGCCAAGCATGCTATTGGATCTATACATTAACAGCAAAATGACCAAGTGATATTTGGCTATTTATATGTTGAACACCTATCAATAAAACAAATCTATTAAATTAAATTTGGAAAAAATTGATTTAAATAAAACTGATAACTCATCGTGAAATTAATAAATATCAGTTTATAGAAATTATACAGCCTTTGAATATAACTTCTATTTTACTACTCTATAAGTGAGAATATTATACAATTATATCAGCCCACACTTCATCAACTGGATTTCAATATTCTAAAGAAAATTAATAGTAATTAAACACATATTATTCAATGACATTCTAATTAAGCTTGCGATTGCTTGACAATTAAGTTTAAGTTTCTTTTCAGATTCTCTGTTCTACATATGCATCGCTGATAGACCTTTACTCGATAAAAGCACATATATTATACTTACACCATTGATTTTATTAAAACAATTTTCCTTCATTCAATTCTCACCATCAAGTTATTGTAATTAATGGTACTATAAAGTTTTTGGTCATTTTTAGAGTCATTGGTTGTATCAAATTTATCGTTGTTCATTGTTGTAGACGACAATGTCTACATGATTTACCAGATATTAACTATCAACGCTTCAACGGTCCAGTGAATTTGGATCTTGTATTAAATAGCTCAACTAGAATCTCTTATACTTGAGCTTTGAGTAAATACATGACATTTGAAAAATTTTTTTTTAGAAATTGAATATTAGAAGTTAAAAATCTTTGATCAACTGATAAGATTACAACGATGATATTTATCATGTATAATTTTTCTCTCAAAGAATTGAGTTGATAAGGGTAAATATTAGTGAAATTAGATATGATGACAAGGAGACGGATCTGATAGAAATTGGAAGTGCATAGTATACGTAATATGATAGTTTTAAGCAAGACTCAGGTAGTATTGGTGGAATATTTATCTTCTTTTTCAAACTTCTAAAATTTATAATAAAATAGACAAAGTTATTCGAACGTGAAAGCTCATATTGTAACTACTAGAACTAAACAATACTAATGAGATTTACATATAAACCCTGTTCTGTCCCATCCTATATGGCATTACACTCTAGGTTGGTTACCCAAGGCAAAACAGAATTCATGTATGAGTTCTAAATGAGGCCAAGTAATATTTATGAACACATAGAGCTTATAGAGCTTTTTAAAATTTTTTTATTCTACAAAACTCATGTATATAATGATTTTAACATGAATGAAAATTCTGAAAAGCGCTCTCTAGCACAAAACAAGCCCTAAGTTTGAGTTATAGCTACAAACACTTCTAAGCAGATGTACATTGAATTATCATTAAATTATTTGAATAAAGCAATTTATCAACTTGTTATTCAGTGTTTGATTTTGAAAACAGAACTTTTAAAAAAACGCCATCATTAGAACTAAATGTAATTGCGTCTTAATGTTTGTTTTACTTTAAATTAGTAAAAAATTTGATTGTTGTTTCTATAAATTGAAATAGCTATCTAGTTGATTACACTCATGCATTTCAATTAATTTTTTCAAAACTTAAAATTTTCCATTATTGGTTCATCAACTCACCATTATCCGTAAAAAATTTTCTTTATAGTCTATATTAATTAAACTGGACGTGAGGAATTACTTATCAGGAATATAATTAAACTTGAAGAGATCTTAATCAAACATGTAATTTGTGCTTACAAGAAGACTGGTAATATTCGAACTCAGGAACACTTACTCCGTTATATTAGTTTTCTTAATTAAAAACCGGCCGCTAGAAAAAGAAAAAAAAAATAATAATTACTGAGTGACAGTGAGAAAAATCGCAAATGATTTTATATAATAGAATTTCAAAATGCTTTTTATTGGAATAATATTAATTGGCAAAGTATTTTAAACGAGATAATAAATGAGATATTGATTTAAAAAAGACTTAAACAATGATAGATGAATTCTATAAATCTTTTAATATCTCTGACGGTTAAATCGGTGAAATTTACCCAATTGAAAGTCGGTAGAAATGTCAGAAACTAGGTAGTATGTAATAAAAGTACATAAAAGTGAAGCATTCACCCGTTAACAATACTATTTCAAAGTTTTTCCGAGCATCAATTGTCGATTATTTCACGCGGTTGATCGTAAAAAGTGGAAAAAATATTTAGAAAGCAATAAAGTACATTGTCATCATCAACTGTGGTACAAAGATATTATTCACTATTTATTTGTTGTATTATAATTATATAGAAATATTCATTGAATTCGTCTTAGTAATTAATAATTACAGTATACATTAAATCGTAAATCGATGTATGCAGATATATAAATACATATTTTTATGGACATATAAATAAATTTATGATCATCTTATACACTATAACATTGAAATTGTTTAAAAATATGTGGCAAACTATTTCTACAAAAATGTAAAATTATCAGTTTTTTTTAGTTAATTTCTATCAAACTCGTGCAAGAAGTTACCTAAATTAATTGTGAGCACTTCAAGATGTAACTTCTGATGATATAATCAATTTTTCATTCTTTTCTCTTGCCTATAGATTTTTCAAAGCATTTTTCCGTATTAAAAAAAATATATTTGCAAACATTTTTTTTTTCTTTTCAAGGTATTATATTATGTTTCTCATTTTTACTTTAGTTTTTACCTATCACGAATTTTTCATTGCATACAATTACCACCATCTCATCAATTCAATACGCTTTTCTATGCCACTTTGACCAAATTATTCACTTTTTATTAAAGCGGAATGTTACTGCATTTATAACATGACCTTATAGCCATGCTAGTTAACTTTGAATAATTTTCACTTTTATTATAAAAATCGAATGTCATCAATAGAAACATTTTTTACTATTCATTATATTTTAGTTTTCATAAAAAAATTTATATTGATTTAAATTCATTGTCATTGTCAATATGTAAAGTAAAATAAACTCCAAAGTTAGTGTGAATTTATAGTTAATTAACGTTTTGCTTATCACCAAATCACGCATGATTTCTATTATTTCGTCTTGACGTATCTCTCCATCATAATTGATGCTGAAGCTCTATTAAAATGTTCTGATATTGATTTGGTTTAACTGGCAATGAATATTAAAATTTTTCAAATAAAATATTAAAGTGTCAATAAAATGCAGAGTAATAGTGTACGTGGTAATAGAGTAAATTTTAATTATATGAATAGAATTTTATGATTGTTTCAGCCTAGTTGTCGTGATGTATAAACTCCATAATGAATTTAAATGAATAAAAATTTTTATATCGATTAATTTGACAATAATTCATTGTCAGTATCATAATACAGCCTAAGGAAGGATGATCAATTTTTAATTGATTTTTTAAATTATTTATGAGAGTTGATAGTTACCATTCTCTAATCGATATATAATTTGAAGATATTTATACTAAAGTTTAAAATAAAAAAACATTTAATAGTTTAAAATTGATGTCTCACAATAAAAATAATCCTACTCGGCATAATTTTTGTTTAAATCGATTATAGGCTGTAATTTGACCTGAAAATTTTTTTCTGATTGAAAATCATTTTATCTTAGCTAATCTCTATTTCTTTGGAGCATCGAATTCTCAGTGACTTAGAAAAGTCATCAATGTAAATTATCAATTAATATGTTCTAAGTACACATTAAGAACCATCTATGCTTATCTCTTTTGTTTTTTATATCTGTAAGTAAACATTCGGCTATGGTCATTGTAAGAAGCCTGGCACTAGGAGTTGGCATTCCGTGTAATACTTTGGACTACTCTCTGGCCCCACCAAGCTTCCAAATCAAATGGTTGAAAATCTAAAAATTCGAATGTATAATTTAATTTCTTAGCTAAACATCGTATTCTCATTTCTATCGAACCTTTTAATTGAGGGTTGGGTTCTCTTTCTTGATAATATGTCACGGAAGCTCCATTTTGATAATTCTGAAAATCTCCATGTGATTGGTTATGACACATATCCAATTCTCTAGATACAGAATTCCATGCTAAAAAAAATAACAATTATCAGTAAAATTTTTAATTAAATACAGTAGTAAATATACTACCATAGTTAAAAAGTAACGTGAAATATTGGAAAATAAAGTAAGTACTGTAAATTTTGTTTAAATTAAATTTGTTTGTTTATTCGATTCAATAACACTAGAAAATTTCCTTACAGGTATAAATGTAATTGATGATATCAAAATGTTGAATGGTTTGTTCAGATTGATGTTTCATAGGCATTGTGGTTGACCTTTTACCATTCATAGCTGTCATTTGAGATCTTCCGCTAAATGAATGGAAGAATAGTGATTATTTCAAACAGTAAAATATTATATAAACATAAATAAATTTTCATGCATGAAAATGCTAGATAAAAATAATTATTTTTATTATAATGTCTATTACAGGGGAGAATGAAAACTTACGGTGAGTTCAAAAATATTTCAGTTACTGAAAGATAAATAAATAAAGGCAGTAAAATACTAAAAATAAACGATAATGTTACAGAAAACTGATAAAAATTACTTACATATAATTATTTGAATAAAATAATGTTTATATTAAAAAAAATTTCAGTAATATAATCATTAATTTTATATATCATATCTATAAAGCAGAAATTAGATTTAATAAATAAGCATAAAGTCAATAAAATGAGTATTTCTGTTAGAAACTTGAAGACAATGAAACAAAATCACATTTTTAATTAGATAATTAATAAAGTTATTATTAATTCGGGTAGTAATTACACTTTTTATCCAATTTAATTCCGAAAAGAATAACAAAGAACTGAAATCCCAAGAATAGAAAATGGGTCAGATCAAGACTAGACCTGGGTAGCGAAAATAGAAAACCTAGTAAGCTAATTAGGAAAATAATGATGTTCACGGTACGATAAAAACGAATTAAATGCTTGCATACTACTCTAAAATACATTCTCTTAAGTCTATGTACAACTCAAGCTATGAAACGTCATGTAAATGAACACAACAATTTAGCCGCCATTCCAGGTTTCAGACACAACAGAGCATATTCGACAAATCTATCTACTCTAGCAGATTTATCGCAATAGTAAAATTTACCTCATTATTTCTTCCGTTTAAGTTAAACTATCACGTTTCAGATTCCACTCAATGTTTACTTTGTGAATGCGTGTCAAACTTTATCGTACTTTTGTCAAACATGAACTTTACTGAACCGTCAAAATCGTTGACAGTTGAAGGCGTCCTTACAACAAACACATGCGTAACTACTACGTAACCGACTATTCGTACGTATTTACATCGATTTCAATGTAAATGTGTGGTAATGTATACTTTTTGCCACCAATCATATAGCAAATAGACACGTCGAGTTCTGACAAAGAATATACACTCTCTTACAAAGACGTGCATACTCCTGATTTATTTTAAATAGCCGTAAACTGCCTACGCCACCTGGGAATATTTGAGAATTTTATTTAATGATAACTGATCTTACCGACATTTAAGTTATCAATGTAACTGCAAGGTGACAGCACTTGAACGATACTTTTTACTGGCGCAATTGTAATGAAAATCGGAGTTCATAAATTGGAATTAATTATTAATACAAAACAGTTAAAAGACTTATTTAAAACTGAAAATTCAATTTCAAAAACAGCAAATCTACAATAAAATATTCGTCAATAATAAAATTAAAACTGGTTAATTAATCTCTGAACAAAATCATAACCAACTTAACATGCAGATTTCATTATCTCACAACTAAAAGACATTTTGTGTTATTTTTCGATGTGTTAATCATAAAGTTTGTTTGAAACCTTCTATTTTTTCGTTGATAAGACAATACATTTTTGTGACAAATTTCAAAAACAAAAATATCGAAAATGCCGTACAAATTACGCCTAAATCTAAAACATAAGGCTGCACTGAAGATAGCTAAATCGTTTTGGGAAAGAAAAGAAGTCCAAGCCAAAATAGAACAGTTTTTTGAACCTACTGGCAGGATAACGACTTATCACACTAAAATAGACTGGCAAAAACTTATAAGGACAATGTTCAAAGAATGGAATAAAGATACCATCCCGCAAACGTTGGAAATTGAATTAAATCATATTGTAAAGATGATAGGAGAGAGAATATATGATTGGTATCGGTACATCAATTATGAATACGAAGTGATGAGCAATCCAAAATATTTTATTAATAAAATATTCTGGACACCTTATGGCACTGTGGATGAAATTCGTATATTCAAGACATTTTGGTTAGACGATGATTTTGATCCTGCCACAGTTTACAATTTTGCATGCAAATATGCGTTAGAAGAACATATTAATAGTTTGTGGGTTGGGTGGGGATAAAATACCAAGGGATAAACAAAATTATTATTGTTATAAGCACTTCGAAGAACACATATTAGCATACTGGAAATGTTGCAAAGATGGTAATTTGCCTAACTTGATAAGATTTTTTGAAACATCTGTAACGAATATACAAGAGTTTAATCTTCTGTATAATATAAATCGTTCACTGGAGGAGAACATGTTACATTTATCTGTATATCGAGGTTATCATATTGCTGTAAAATATTTTTGGGAGAAGCTCACTGAAGAGGAAAAAGACCACAGCATAGTAAAATGTGCTCACATTGCAGTAATGCGTTATAATTATTATGAACAGAAAGAGTATGGAATAGACCATAAGAAATACCAATGTGTAGAAATATGTTTATTTCTTATAAATCAAATGACAAAAAATCATAAGGACACATTTTTTAACGAAAAGTTGAGATTGAATGAATCATATTCTTGGTGCCAAATGAAAACAATTACAAAAAATGAGATTCTAAAAATGTTATTATTTGCATGGCCATGGCAGGAACTTTTTGTGCCTGTATTAAAAGATATGCTACGATATCAAGATGATAACAACAAAATGAGTTGTATGTTCTTAGACGTAATTACACGAAAAATGGTGGGAGACCATTATCTGGGTTATTCTCTAGAAATGAGTCGATACCGGATTTTATTACGTGAAGCTTGGTTCGTTATTCCAAAATGTATTAAACAGAAACTAGGACGAGAAGACTCAAGATTTTACTTTATATCTGATTTGATAGACATATGGGACTTAGAAAGTCTCAAATTAATATTAAATGATCCAGCGGTTGCAGTTATCAGAGATAATCTTATAAAAAATGAAAAGGCATTATATGAACAATTTATATTCAATGATCAATGTGAGAAATTGAATCAGTTCATAGAAGAAGTATATACAAGTGAAGAAGATAAATCATCGTTTAAAATGATGATGATGAATACTGGGTACTTTTGTATAATGAACGGTCAATTCGATTTGATGGACAAGTTGTTAGACTGGCAATGTAGTGTACCTGAAGAAAGACAATCTTATAAAAGTAAAATAAGGCATATACCATTTTGTGAACGTATGATCAAAGGTAATGATTATGATTTATTAGAAACATTTCTAGATTGGAAATTAGAGACAGCAGAGGAGAAGCAAAAATGTAAGGATCATTTCAAAAATGATGATTTTTCAATCGAACAAATTCATAAAATATGGGAGGATTGCGGAAAGAATATAAATAAGGCAAAGAAAACATCTTCTAGGCTTTTTCATTGCCTCTTTGAGTCAGACGAAGAAATAGCCGGCTTTAAAAAAAAAAAATAATAGCATTAGAAGACTTTTTTCTCATCAATTGTAGACTTCCCAGAATAAATAATAATGGCATTTTAGATGATTTTTTGTCGTGGTGTTTATTAGACAATGAGGAAATCCAACGGGTAAAACAAGTTGTATGTCAATCATTTTCAATACAGTAAAGTTTAAATAATAAATTTTATAGTTTTGCTTTTTTTTTTAGTTATGCTTTCTAATATTTTTTTTTGTATCTTTATGGTTTTATTTTTTATCAATTATTTTTGATAATCATATCATTTATTTACATTTCATTGTATTTTAGAAAATACAAATCCTTAAAAATAAAGGAGCTGATATGCTTCATCAATCTGAATGAAAACAATTAGTATTTGTGAATATATTGTAAAATATTTTACCTGAATTTACAAGTAAAATATTATGAGAATGGTTAAAGCACATGATACGATTAATAAAAATATTTTGCTACATACATGACTAGGTTATAAAAAAGAGTGAGTGTCTTTTAGAAAAATTGAAAATTTTCGTAGTATTACTGTTAAAGATGTCCAAAGTGTTATTAATCTTATTTAAGTATGTTTTTTACTTTAAATGATTTTGATATTAATCTATCTAAAATTTGCATATGTTCGATAATATAAATATCGAAAATTTTTATTTTGATTCACTCAACAGTGCCTTTCAGAATTGTTGGTCAATTCAATGTTTAACCATTTTTACTGACTATTTTTCTATTCTCTATCTACGAAATACATAAAGATTTCTAATTCAATGTCATTTAGAATGTGATTAATTAAACTAAGTTAATCATTGGATTAGAAGTATGATGAAACTGAAAAAAGAGCCAAAGTAGTATTGAGAACAATTGCGCATAAAGAAATTAAAATTGGAAATTGCCCAGAAGAATAATATCAATATGTACATAAAAAGAAAATGAAGTTTTACTTAATAATTACAGATAAAAATACAATTTTTTATCAAGTGAAAGACGATGAAGATCATCAGTCCAAAAGAAATTTTAAAATTGTTGAATTATTCGAAATTTTATCCTTTTCAATCCTTTTTTCGTGAATTCATAAATTCCATCTCGTTTTATTTGGAATATGGTGTCATCGGCTGTAGAACATCAAAATGTTAATTTTTAAAAGAGTTCATTGGTTTGAAGGGAGAATAAAACACTGTAAAAATAAACTGTTATGCTTCTCCAAAATCGCAAATAATACATGAAAAATATAAATTTTAAGAACAGAGAATTAAATAATTTAAAAAAATACTTCTTAATTGTTTTTCTTATGTTGATAACTAATGCAATAGTTAGTTACTGATTTATTGTTAAAATTTGATAGTTAAAAAATTTTCTAGATTCTTGTGATTATTTTTGTGTATTTTGTGCCATCGAATAAGTTCTATAAAGTTTTCTTTAATTCGGTAATTCATTCTTGTGATGCATCCTCTGTAGAAGAAAAAATCTCAAAAATGCTGTATGAGTTACACTTGACTTTACGAAAAAGATTATCTCTAAGAGCGTTGTTTTATCGACAAGTTAAAGAATCATGAAGATAGAGACGAATAGTGATAATAAACGAATGGAATGAAAATGGACTAACTCGAAACTTGCAAAATGAATTAATTTATGTCGTAAACATAATCGGTAGAGAAATTGAAAATCATCAATTCATGACAAATTTCAAAACTGTTTTAAATTTCACTCCTTTAAATTCTATGTTTGGTACATTATTTTTTTCATCCCATTTAATTTCTTTGATATAATTTATTGTAGTATTGATGATTCCAGTTTATTGTGTGTAAAAATTTTCGTCATATTTTAATATGCAAATTCTTAAAAGTGATCACGTCACTTCTTGACAAAAATCAAATTTGTAATTTTAATAAATAATTGATTATAAGAATTGAGAAATTAAAAGAAATGGAAGAAGCATGTAAATTTAAATCATAATTTTGCCCGAAGCTACTCAGAGCACAGTCGAATGGTTCCAAACATTTTTAAGTATGTATTTGCATACTCTTGGCGATCAATTTCGTGATTTTATTGTGCAAAAAAAGTTAATTCATGGTTGGCCGTATATAGCATTACAATCTACGTTTCAAAAGGTTTTTTCTTTGATACAATATTTTATCTAGACAATATTTTTTTTAATTTTCCAGGAAATATGAATGAAAAATATAAAATACTAGATCAAATTCTAACATTTTTATTGATACAATATATTTTGCAATAAAATATTAATGAAGTAAAACATATAATCAAATATTTAAATTTAAGAGAATTTTAAGCTCGAGTTATAAACTCTTTTACAATCATTAATTTAAAAAATAACGATAACAGAATATTTAATAATAAATTTATTGCCACACACAATTCTTTATTTTATTTAAAATCAATCAATACATAATTTTTTAATGTTGTGATTATTAAATAAATATATAGGATAAAAGCAAATTACTTCTAATAGTTTCAATTTAATTGTAAGAAATATTTCAAAAAAATATACATATTTTTGAAATTTATTTTTAACGGTAATTTATCCTGTATAGATATTAAAAAATTATTACTGTCAAATCTATACTCATATATGTATGCATATATTATTTTCCATCTAGAAGAGACACGTTTAATTGCGAGCAATGTAACAACAATAAACAGCGATAATATTTATTAATAATAAATTATTTCATTGTCTTGTTTTTCTTTTTGTCAAATAATTTAATGAAAAGTGTCTCTATTGATTTTAATAATTTGAATAACTTCGCAAGAAATTTGCGGGTAATTAATAAGAAAAACAACAAACATAAAGTACAGTTAGTCAACAATAATATTGAAATGGAGCAGCGTGAAGAACAATTTTTCAATTACAATGTTAATCATTTTGTGTAGATTAATATAATACTTGTATTCCATTTTTATATCAACTCTGATGGTTGAGTGAATATTTTATTTATATTATTCTCTATACAATTGTGCGGGCTGTCCGCAGATCATCATATTCTTTACTTTATTTAATTATTTTTACTCAATACTCTAATTAGCTAGGGTCGCAATTGGTGTGAGATTAAAAAATTGTTTATTATCAACTCTCATTAATATATCAAGAGGTAAATCAAAAAAGAAAATAGATCAAAAATATTTTTAAGTGAAATAAAATATAAACGATTATAAGTCTAGTATCTATATTTCTTAAAGAGAAGATCAAATTATTAATGAGAGCTATGATAATGTGATTATTGTTATTGATATAATAATATTTGTACCGAAAAAGGTTGTTCAATATGATAAATTCAAAAAATGTTGATATCATTGAGAAAGATCTAAATTTTGAGTAAAATGTTATTAATCTTATATTGAATATACATATATATACGTGAGAAATAGACAATTAGTTATTTATATACATATAATAAATAACTTTTAATTAGAAATAATTTAACATTTTTCAATTAATAAAAATTTTAGATCAATCAATTAGGAATTGTTTCATTATTCTCTAATATTCGTTTATATCATTGATGATTAATCATAAACATTGAGATTGTATTTGTTACACATAGTAGTTTCTTATAACTTTTGATTCTCACTTTATTAATTGCGACGTAAAATTTGCTCTCTACTTTCATTATTTAAAAGTGTTGTTAGAGCAAGGGAAAGACGAGAAAAGACCAGATGAACAAATAGAAGTTTTTCACATAATAATGTGTGCGTATTTGTTAAAATATTTCTACAAGATAAACTTTTTTCTTCTTCAAATGAATTAACCTTTAAATATGTTCTTTCTCTGAAATTATCGATTCCTTGGAAGTGGAATGATCTTAAATGTAAATATTGCAATAAAAATTTGACCACTTATTGTATGAAATTCACTTTTTATCTTTTTCATAGTCAAAAAAGAAGTAATTAAACACAGTTGAGTGTATTCAATTATTAAATATGCATTTCTTCATATTAATTATTTGTATTGACATTTTGTTTTTCGAATAATCTTCAAGTTCATAGCAAAGGAACTCATAATACTGATGATGTAGTAATCTTTTCAGATGGTCTACAAGAAAATGTAGCAGATACCAGAACATTGAACTCACTGTGAAATGGATATTTCATTTGACCACAAATTAACTGAGTTAGATTGTAAGATATACAAGAAAATGGAATGACAGTCTTTAGATAATAAATAATGTTCTGGCAAAGCTTCATTCAAACTAATAAAGTTCCTTTTCACAAGCTTGCTTTGATTACAAGGGGATAAACGGTATAGGTACTTAATTACTTATCAGCAAGAGGATCCTTAGGAGATTAAACATAAATTTAGTTTGATTATTTATACAAGTGTCATGTCAATTCAATCTCTAACCATCTTATACTTGCCAAATTTAACTGGCGTAATGAGCAGATAAAACCGCTTTCTTTGAAATTTTCTCACACGCTCGTTCTCTTTCTCTCCTCCTCTCGCTCGTACACTCTACCTCTCTTGTATATTTCTAAGATTTTAACTTTTGTTTAATTATTTTATCACAGATGTTTCTTTTGCTCGCCCTTTATCAGCATTAGCTCACTCGTCAGTATTAAACCCATTGATACAATTATTACTTTATTTAATTAGTGTTTCTACATCATTAGTTATTTTATCAGCGTATCATCAATCCCCAGGTTCTATAATTTATTCCATGTTGTTCATCACAGATATAATGCTGGATTTCTTAAATCGATTATTTGTATACATCCAGAATTTCACGTATCACTCAGGCCTGCCCTAGTAGAAAAATATACAGTCGCTTCTTACAAAATAGATCTTAACGCGCTTTATCTCGCTAATATGCTTTTGTTTGATATTATTTTACAATTATTTTGATTCCTGGCAGGCTATTATTAAGAAATAACATAGATTTTAAATATTTATGATTACTTTTTAAATATTCATTTCTTTGACTGGGGACATTTTTTTCTGACTTCGAGTGAGCTCAGGGCTTCAGATCTACACTATTTGACGTGTCGTCTTCTAAACTAGACTTGCATTCATGGTTTTACTATATAATTCGTACTTGCTTACTTTTTTCTAGATGAAAATAAACTCAAACCAATTGGGAGTGATTACATGATGAGAAAAGTCATCGTTGGTCATAAGTCATGAATGAAAGCCTTAATACGTGTTGCCTATCCAGCTCTAGTTGTGTATTTGCTTTTGGCAAGCTCAGTCTTATAAATCGTTTGTTATTATTCGCTTGTTTTCATTTCTAGTTATTATAATTTTCATCTAATCATAAATACCGTGATCGTACGGAATGGCTGCACGTGGTTTTTTATAATCTAGCTTTGTACAAGAGGTTTACTTCACCCCTAGAAGACGATCACGCATTATCACTTTGTTTATTTCAATTATACCCATAGATATTCTGACATTATCATTGTACAATGCCTAATACATTTTTTAATGAATGTTTAGCTTTTTCACACTTTTTCCTCTTTCTCTCATTACATTGCAATATTTTTGACTGTTTACAAAACCAGGCTTACAGTGATCTAAAAACAAAAGAAGATGTATAACATGAAAGATTATCCATTGTAATATAACGATCGTTTCATTTATGGCTCGAATAATTATTTTTACTTAATTAACCAATTATTTAATTGCGCAGGGCCATGGGCGTGGATTTATTTTACATTCTCGCAAATTGATCGTCAGCGTTTATATACAAACGTCTCAGGTACATGTTAAGGCCCGTTCTACATTTCTTGTTAATTCGACAATTTTTAATATACTTTCCACGCAATATGCATATGTTTTAATTATTTTTGGTATTAAATACGACAAGTATACATACATGTTTTAATTTACATCAATAGATTTCTAATAGAATACTCATTTTATCTAACACAATAAAATTTGAACAATTGCGTCAAAATAAAATTAATTGAAATTATTATAACATATATGAACACGAGACATAGTAATGGACATTGATTGTTCAAGATATTAAAAGTGTTAAGTTTCCTCAAATATTAAAATTTTTTTGTCACATACAAGATCTTTATCCGTTTTTACTGCTGTTTATAAATTTTTTTGCAGTTGAAACTTTTTTTCAATAGTTTCTAATATTGTATTTTATTTTTATATTTTGCTTTATTCAAACAATTAAGACCTTGATTTCTTACACATATGTATGCGTGTGCGCTGAAATATATGAATCTATTTACAACTAGCAAACTACTTTGCCTAGTTGAAAAATAGATTTATACATCGTTGTCATCGGCTTTGAGCTATGTCTCATATTACAATTAAGAATTACAAAGCTCTCAACTTAAATAAAAGAGAGCAGAACGCCATATTAATGCGTATAAGAAGATGTGCGTCCGATCGGTTGTCGTATTAAAAATAACCTCGGTCCGCTGTATATTTTCGCGATCTACGCGATTATTTTTCTTTTTTGAATGTCTACATTTTACCTGACTTTATGAGGCTTCATAAATCATTTTTTTCTTTTAAGAGTAATACAAATTTACTCCTCGACTAATCTAAGTTCTAGCATAGTTGAAAAAACATCTGCAAATAATTTTCCTATTTTAACTCAGGAATCACTTTATTCTTAGTTGAAAGATCACTTGTGATTTTATTTTTTTTGTCTAGCTCTTGCATTGCACTATGTACGTCATTCTTGACTATTTTAAATTTTTATAGACCACTAATTCAGTCATAGTCATCTAAGGATTATTTTAATCCTTGTTGTCATTTTTATCTTCCAATAATTTAACTTAAAGTCAAGTACAGAGCAAATAATATTTTTTGTAGGAAGCCATTTACGTTATTTACGAAATTTCATTCACTGGCCGTTCTGATTCATTAGATTTTTTTGATTCTTCAATATAACACGAAAATGTGATAGTTTGTAAATGCATATTAGAAAAAAAATTATGAATTCACCAGATCTGTAGTTTGAGTTTGATCATGATATCATGTGATGGTTAATGATAAATAAGATTCGTGTTTTATAAAAATAAGATTAAACAAAGTTATTTTACGTCATCTATTATTAATGGCATAATTACGTCCCTGCTGTCGCCTTTGAAAGGGTCTGTTAATACTGGTAATAAATCCCAGTATGAATATATTTTCCATTTAGCTCCGAGTATTTTGTTTATTTCCTAAAAAATAAACAGTAATTATCTGTATTATTCATTATTATTAATTATTATAAATTCAAATAGTATTTATACTTACACGATAAATTTCTTCAAGTTTGTAAGATGTGTCACTTTCATTCATCATATCGTTTTCTGAAAACTCGCACTTTTGAAGAGTATCTCCTCTTAATCGTGCAATAGCAAGCATATTTTGTGGAAAGTATTTGTGTCCAATGTATACTAATTCTTCAAGACGGAAACAACGCCAAGCTATAAATACTAAACCATCAGGATTTGACTGTGCATCTGATGGTGGAAATAATTCTTCTTCATTTATTGAATCAATCCATATAACAGACCTCAATGTTCTATAATAATATGCAACGAGAGCATACATCACTCTAACGTTGACTTTTTCACAAAATAAAGCTTTAAAATGAGTTAAGGGCATTGCAGGTTTCAGTATATCAGAATGTGCGTATAGTATAGCTGCATATGCATGTAAAAAATTTATTCTCATTTCACAACGAGGGTTATTGTGAGTAAATAAAATCCACGACCTGTTGCTTGCTCCACGATTTTGATGCCAATCATGGACATGAACAACCAATCTTTCTAAAGTTCCAGTGGTAAAAGAATCCAAGAGAATGTCGTTCAAATGATCGTAATCAATTGTAAGAATTGTAAGATGTTTAAAATTATTAAACACTAAACTATCCAATGAGATGACTTTGTAATTATCCGGAATTTCTTTTACTGAAGCCAGGCCAAGGTGTGTAAGATGCTCGCTATGATAACTGCTCAGGCACTCAAGAATTTCTCTTGCAAATAGTGTTATGTCTTCAACACAACCAAGTGTCAATGTTTCCAATCGTTTAGTATTTTTTATAATGCTGATGATTGACAAGTGGATCGATTTACTTAACCTACACAAAAAATTATCAATTACGATAAGATAGTTATTCAAACAATTAATCAATAAATTAAAAAAATATTTTAACGTATCAGGATTATTTTAGCATGGAAGCTACTTTAAATTAATTAATTTAACATACGTTTCATTTTCATGCAGATCTAAGAACCCATTAACCCACTGAGATGTGGATAGTGAAGGTTCTATCATTAGTTTCCGTAAATTCCTACTTCTACACAAATTCTCCAATAAGCAAGCAAGCTCTATGCAGCAGTTGATATCACATTTTACAGTAGCCTTTTCAACACTCAGAGCGAAACGATCGGCCAGATATCTGTGGATTTAAAGATATTTTTAGCGTGAGAATATATCAGAGCATTACAGTTGTTTTTACCTTGACCATGGAGCAGTCTTTTTATTATTAAATAAGAATGTTATATTTTTCCAAAATAGTGGATGAAAATAAGCTTGTCTCCAATCTTTACAAACCTATCAAATAATAGAATACATCAACGAGCTTAGAATAGAGAAAGTATCATGAAAGTAGCAGCTGTTTTGACACTTACCACAGACGCATTTATCCTATCTTTCGGTTTAAGATATGAAAATATTTTAATCATAATAATACTGGGAAGGCGATCCCAGTGTGGTCTGCTATTTTGTGCCATTTTTTGAATTTTGATTTAAATCACAACAGGATAATGATTTGAAAGACGCCGAGGTCAAGTCCACTGGCTATATCACACTCTTAAAATATTGCACTGAGACACACTTTACTTCACACAATATAATATAAATCGATCATTTTCTTCTGACATTCTTGTTATTTTGATATATACTTTCAATGCTCACGAATAAACACTAACAAAATACTCGAAAATAAATTTACAGCCGTCGGTTTGGACACTATCAGGCAACAAACACACACAGGGACATACAAAGCTAGACTGAAAATATGAAAACACAACACTACTGACAAATGAGAGCAAGCGAGATATCAATGACAAGGATACATTTAAATGTTTGCCGACCACAGCAATTTATAAAAAAAAAATAGATTGCCTTACCAAGAAAAACGAACTAACCTGTCTGTTCTCAACAGAACTAACACATTTTTGGACAGATGGCGATTATTGACAGTTCGTTGTGTGACATTCAAATTGAACAAATTTTCAAATCAATTTGATCGAATATCATAAACCTATCAATAAATAAATATCATTTAAAATATAATCTGAATATTAGAATAGGTTTGTAATTTCAAAAAATTGTTTTTCCATCCAATTTGTTTATTGTGAAAATGTTTGTTTACAACTAACAATAAATTATCGACGCTACAATTATTTCGATTACGTAGTTATCAACTTGACTACTGAGGACGCCACGAAATGGACGCAGTGATTCTCAATACCGTTGTTTTGTAAATTATTCCAATTTAAATATTAAGAAAGAATATTTTGTTTGAAACTGGTAAACAAAAAGAAAAAGTGAAAGTAAAAATAACATGAAGACATGAATGTTCAGAACTAATTTCTAAATATTTATTAACGTATTATGTCAAAATATACTAGTCAAACAATAAGAAGTAGAATATCAAAAAACAATTTTCGTGGATGGGTTTTTTTTTGTAATGTAGTGATCATTCTAGTCTGTATTTTTTTTTATAATTGATACAATCAATAAAAGTGCTTTGTGGTTAAAAGTGTTAATTTAGATTTTTTAATTTAAATAGCATGATCGTAATTGCACCACTAGGTATTTACCATTACTTCATTTTTTTATGTTCTGACTATTATATGCATGAATTCTAAGTAAAAGCTACTTTAAATCATGGTTGCAACGACGCAAATTTAGAAATAAATTTTAAACTATGTTATTACAAATTGCAGTAATATATATTATTCATTTTATTCGTGAAATATGAAATAGAGTGATAAAAGGTATTCAGTTAATGTTTTTCTAGCTTTCATTTAAATTATAGCTCTATAAGTACTAATTTCGCTGATGTTAATTTCTCCAAGAGATTCAACTTTTTTGAATGAGTCTATTTGTATTATTGATTATATATCGACATTAAGTTAACATACAAGCAAGTGGATTTCTTTTTTACTAATATTCTAACATCAATTTGCTACATAGTTTCATTCAACTTTCTATGATAAGTATAGTTTGAAGTGCTCATTGGAGATTAATCAAATCTTTTTACTTACTTAATAATTGAACTCAAACTTTCATTTTGACTTTATTGAATATTAATATTAATGGTATTCATCTACTCATCAGTGTTTTATTATATAATTATGGTTATTTAATGATATGATTGAATGTTTCATTATCTTTTTTATACTTAAACCATCAACTTTAATTCATTTTAGAACCATTATAGATTATCACTAAATTTATTAGCACTGTCTGAAAGTTAAAACTTATAAATGATTTCCAAGTAATTTAACTTCATTCAATTTATCTTCTTATCTGAATGATAAAAAAGTTCGACTGATACTAATATTGATTTGGTTTTCAATAGGTAATTATGGTAATTCCAAAACCGCGGATACATCTGTGAAAGGAAAACAAACTGGTAAGTTGTGAATGAAACATAAATGACAAACCAAAGTGCAGTGGAACTACAAGAAAGAGGAAAGAGATGAAGATAAGATGACAGAGAAGTTTTTGATGACTAGGAAGTTGATCCTAACATCAAATATCTTGAAAAGCCCATCTGTAAGGCATAAGCTGAGAAGTCTATGAAACTTGTCGAATGTTTAGTGCTTAGTTGAGAAAGTTTTTCGCTTGGGTTAAGCTTAAAGGCGTCGAAATCAGTCAGAAAGCTTGGCTTGCTTGATCCGTATCTGGTAGAAATTTTGCGTTTAAAGTTACTGAGAGAAATAAGCATAGCTTTTTGTATAGCTTCTTTTGATCTCAATGAAAGAAACTCCTATGTGTGACTGAGAAAAATATTTTACGGATCATGTACATTGTGAAATTATTTATAGAGTAAAAACCTATGTAGCTTCTTTTACTTTTTGAATAAATATTAAGGTATATTCATAATGTAATATCTTTCTATTGAAGGAAAATATTTACAGAAATTTTAGATCTTATACTCTAGTATATGTAGTGTTCATAGACACTCTTTGGTAGAAGCTTGAGTTTCTTTTTAGAGGAAACAAATATTTCTATTAGGGTATGAGTTTTATTTGATTAAAATGGGATTGATGAGCCAATTTGCTATGAGATCGAGAGGAATTGGATAAGTCGAAGAGATTCGTAGGGGTGAAAGAAAAGTGGGAAGCTGGTCATTGGAGTACTTTTTTTATGTTGAAAGAATGTAAGAGTGAATATGTTGAATACTATGAGGGGTCGAACCCCTACATTGGCTCTAAGAATATTTATGGTCAATGTGCGGTTCTTATTTTTATTTAGTACTTGAGAATATTGTAGCTATGGGATAAAATTGGATGTAGGTATATAACATCAACTATATCAACTTGTTTTTTGTCTTACAATTGATCCAATCATTAATCTACAGCTTTTACAGATTTTATAACATAATTTATCAACAAAATTATCATAATATAAATGCATAATCTCATTTTATCTGCGTTAGATCAAAACTTGGACAAAAAAAAAGAAAAGTTTTATATTTTTACCAATAATTTGATACTAAATTTTTATTTGATATAATTTTACAAGATTTTGAAATGAAGTTTCTTATAAGAAGTTTGTCAAAAAAAGAAAATTTTCCGCATAGAAGCACCGATAAATGACGTAGAACTCCATTAAAAACTTTCTGAAGATCAACTTTTGCAGTCAAATACACTTGAGCAAAGTTGACTGATGCTTTCAAACTATTTTTTTTTCATTTTTCAATGCAAAAATGTTTGATACTGGAATAAATTCAAAGGCACCAATTAAAGAATGATTTTAGTACAAAAGTTATTTTACGATCTTAAATTTAGTTGATAATTTTAAAAGTAGAAGTTTATTCTATAAACGTTTGATTGATTAGTGTAATTACTGAGTTTCAGAAATGAAACTAAAGTCTGAAGGAGAGTTTCCAAAGACGTTGTCGATAGGTGGTGAGTATAGAAAGCCATTAATGAATTGCTATTGCTGAGGGTATCCTGAGTATCGAGTCGTTAAAACTATCGTTTTCTGTGGTTGATACACCGGCGTATTCACACGCTACCAAAGCTAGAGGCACAGGTCTGTAAATCGATTACCTTTATTTCTCTATTTTCATCTACAAACATGATGAACTGTTTGATGTATAGATCTTTTTTGTTAATATATCCAAGACTTGGCTGTTATAATTAATTTTAGAGCCACGAACAATTTGTGTATCTCTTTCGGTTGGGTTTTTAAATCAATATTAGAATATTAGTATTAGTTCCAGTTTTTTATCAAGCAATACATTTTCCAGGAATTTTATTTATATTTTATTCTACGTTTTATCTATTAATATTATTATAGATTGATATTTAAGATATTTATTATTCGAACAATATTTTCATTTATCAATATAATTAATCTTTTTACAAAGTATCACTTTTAAATAGAGCAATTTTATGTCAACAATTGAAAGTAATGATGATCATTTAAATAAATTTGCATGAGATGATGATAAAGATAGTTATTAACGTTTAAGACTATTATTCTAACATTATTTTTATTTGTTCATCATCTACAGTTTGACGTAAGTTGAAGCAGTTTTGTATCCCCTTAGCAACTTGTAAAGTTACAAGAATACATTACACAAGATGGAAATCTACAGAAAATAATTATATCTTAATTGCTACAATTAAATTTTACGTTTCACACGCTATGTATTCACATTATCAATGTTTTGCGATTTAAAATTTTCCACGAATATCATTTTTTCTGTCGTTGTTCTCACTCCCCTTTATCCACTGACTAATAGCTGCTATTACACTGCGTGGGGTTCTTTCCATCAACATGGCTTCTAATGCACAATACAATAAGAAAGACTAATGATAACATTTTTTTTATTAGTGATTTATTATTTTTAATTGATAATAATTGTTTAAAATTACTTAACATCAGTTTGAAGTTAAATTTTATTAGAGAAAATAATTTTATTTATTACACAATGTTTATATGGTAATGTATAATGTAACATCTTGTGTTAAAATATTTGTGTTAAATTAACGTATAAATTTTCTAGAGAAACAAGATTAATCTATGGTAGGACAAACAGACAATAAGAAAGTGCCACGCATTTATACATCGTGTTAGATTAAACATTATCTTTTGTTCAGTACGAAAGGCACAGACCTCGACAATGATCACAATTATCCAGCTATCCATCAAGGTCTACGACAGCAGGAAGACTGAACTTCTTTCGTATGTCATTGGGGTCTGACGAACTTTGTTCACGCTTGAAGGAACATTTTTTCTGCCTCTTTTATTGCAATAGTTATGTTATACTGAGCAGGAAGTAGGAAAGGGAAAGTTCTGATACTATATATAGTAAAGTTGATGGAAAAATATGATGAGCAAAGAATGATGCATACTGAAAGTGGTCCTGCTACTAAATCTGATATACAAAACTAGCATTCAGATCAGTGATTTCGTAGGGGGAGTTTTAAAAAGGAGTAACAAGATCCTTGGATTTTTGGTTGTTGGGTTTGAAAGGATTGATATATCACTCCAGTTGCATCAGATTTTGATGGAAAAGATGTGTTTTGGGGATTTTATTATAATGAAAATTCAGTAAAGAATTAGTTGAGCAATCGATCCTGGTTATTTTATCAAAGAGAGAAATATATTTATGACAGAAATACAAAAGAGTCGAATCAATTTTTGTTGGTTGATAGGACATAAATAAATATGTTCTATTTATTTTTATTTCTTTTGTGATGAAAAATAGAGGAAAAAATTGGTATTTGTTGATTGACGTAGTTATTGACCAAATGATAGTTCATCAAAGAAATAGCAGTGTTCTTTCGAAATTATCA